GCCTCTGCTTGTGGTGCTGGGCCTCTGCTCATGACCCCAGGGCCTCCGTGAGCCCAGGGGCTTCGAGCAGTGCCTCTTCCTCCCACTGCCTTGCTTTCTTCCTCCCCTCCTCCCTCTTGGAGTGTCACCCTCTTTCTTTCTCTGTCTCCTTCCCTCTTGGTAGCAAACACTGGGTGCCTGCTGTGTGCTGGGGACACAGAGATGTATAGGACACACCCCTGGTGGACTCAGAGTCGCCTGGGGGCAGATGGATGCATAAACAGACAGACCAGCTCAGGCCAGTGTGGTAAGTGCTGGGACAAACAGCAGGACAGAGGGGACCGCAGAGGAGGGACTGACCTGCTCTGCAGGGGGGAAATCAGGGAAGGCTTCACGGAAGAGATGATATTTGAACTAGGGCTTGAAAAACAAGTGCAATTACCTGGGTGGATGAGTGTGGGAAGGAATTCCAGGTGGGGAGGATGCCCGGCTGGGGAGCGCCGGGGAGGGCCACAGCGGAAGCTGGGGCTCAGGTTAACCTGCAGGAAGGCAGGCAAGGGGAGCAGAAGGCGCAGGAAGGCCTGTGCTGGAGGCGAGAGGGAAAGCAGCGCGAGGCCGCAGGATCAGATCTGGGCCCGGCACTCTGTGGGCGCAGATGCAGGAGAGGGCCGGGCATGTGAGCAAGCTCGGTGTCAGCGTCAGGGAAGGATGGTGGGGACCGGCGGCAAGCACAGTGGGATTGGGGGGGCCTGGTTAAGGCTTGGTGGGGCCCTGGGGACTGATTGGTTGTGGGGCGGGGAGGAGGGAGCTTGGGGTTCCGGCTTGGGCACCTGTGGCGGAAGGAGCCTTCCAGGGATGTCAGGTGCTCAGAGGGAACAGATCTGGGGGGATGACAATGAGCTCGCCTTGGTGGGTGCATCGAGATGGCGCGCTGGAGCTCGAGAAGTCAGGTGTCAAGGGTCGAGGCTCAGATTTGGGAGTGGCCACCTGGTGGGAGTATTTTGAGCCTGGGAAGCATCCAGAGCCAGTGCACGTGTCAGGGGTCCCGAGAAGCGTGGTCCGTAGTTCTGCAGGAGGCAGCTGCACGCCAATACCTCTGGGTTCCCTCCTCATTGTCTCTCTCCTCCTCTCCTGCCTTCTCTGTGGCCCTCCCTTCTCCACTGCCCGGCCTGTCTCCTGAGAACGCCCCAGCTCTGTTAGCTGCCCACCTCTGCCCTTTCAGCAACCCCGAGTGGTCAGCCCCCCCCTGGGCTCACGTGTGAGAAGCTCAGTAAGTATTTGTGGAGGGAAGGAAGGAAGGCTTGTGGGCAGGACAGGTGCCTGCTGTGTGCCCTGGAGAGGCCTCTTGCCCTGGGACCAGGCTTAGCCGGTGAAAGCGCCCCTTCTGAGGGGTTCCCCACCTTTTCTACCCCCTCTAATGTCCAGAGTATTGGACCTCTTCTGTTGCATTCCCTTGATGACAATAATGATACAGGAGCGGGGCTTTGATTGCAAAAATAGACCTGGATTTGGGGACTTCTGCTGTCACCCCACAGTGCACGTGTGGAGGTGGGAGGGGCTGCGTGAGCAAGGGTATGGTTCACAACACACAGGGTGGGAGCAGCTGGCTCGAGGAGGTGTGTGTGGAAATGCACGGAGGCTGCCAGCAGGGCGGGGGGACCCAGGTCCCCCACTCTCCAGCTGCCTGCTAGAGAGGCCTCCTTCCTGGCCTTCTGCGGCAGGGGGACCATTGCGCCCCAGACCTACCTTCGCATCTGACTTTGCTCCCACGTTTTTACTTTGACTTGTCTAAACCCTGTGGGGGAGAAGGCTAATGGGTAGAAAGTCTGGCTTGGTGACGTTGAAAGCGGTACGTTCTGGCCACGGGCAGGGTCTCTGTAGCAGGGCATTATGAGGACAGAAGGGACTGGCCTTCACAGATGGGCAGGTAGGAATGGCTTGTAACCATCCTGCTCATGCTGCGTAAAGGACTCGCCTGAAGTATAAAGATATCTGAGAGTCATTTCCGCCCAGTGGCTGCATTTTCCCACCATTCTTTTCTTTCTGGAGATGCTGTGGGAATGGACACAGCCTTCTTCAGATTTTCTCTGGTCCGTCTCTCCTCCAGCCTCACTTACTGTCCCCACCCGGTCATTCCTCCGATGGGTGGCGTGTGGGTGCTGCATGCTGGCATCGCACCCAGCTTGGGGCCTTTGGTGACGGGGGAGGCAGAGTCCCTGCCATGCTGGAGGCCCCGGAGATGAGCGACTCCAGCACTGACCCAGTGTGGCAGGTGCCCAGAGGGAGGCCAGGACTGGGGTGCCATGGGTGCCTGCGGGGGGGGGGGCTCCTCACTAGGCCCGGGGAGGGCCAAGGGCAGCCCCCCGCCCCCTGAGAAGGTCACACTGGACCTAAGGATGAGTTCAGTTTAGAACCCATGTGCAGGCATGATTAGGTGATAGTCCTACCAGTTGGTAAGTTTGGCTTCCGTTTCTCTAGGAGCCCTTCTGTGACTCTCTGTGTGCTCTCGGAGCTCCTGCAGCCCTGAAACCTCGAATCACCCTTTCCAGTGCCTGAGTGGCGGGCTCCCTGCCTCTGACACCATGGCCTAGGTCCTTCTTGGGGTCTCGCTCTATCTCTGGTCCTCTGGGTTAGAGTGTGTTCCTCCGAGCGGGCCCCATGTCCTTCTCTTTCCTGACGGCCCAGTAGAGCTCGCCGGCTGCGGGGTCCAGCTCTCCGAGGGCTCAGTGATTGGACTTATACAGGCTCCACCTTGGGGGCCTCTCCAACCAAAGCACTCAAACCAAGTGAGGAACCAAGAGGTGGGAGACACGGCTGGAATCTACCCACACGAACATGGAACAAAGGGATCCCTGGGTGGCTCAGCGGTTTGGCGCCTGCCTTTAGCCCAGGGTGCAATCCTGGAGTCCCGGGATCGAATCCCACATCGGGCTCCCGGTGCATGGAGCCTGCTTCTTTTCCTCCTCCTGTGTCTCTGCCTCTCTCTCTCTCTCTCTCTCTCTCTGTCTATCATAAATAAATAAAAATAAATAAATCTTAAAAAAAAAAACAAAAAACAAACATGGAACAAAGCCAGAGACAGAACTAAAAGGCAAATGACAAACTGGGGGAGATGTTCACAAAAATGATAAACTAAGAACTAGTATTCTCGAGAAAGCATTTAATACAAATCAGTAAGGCAAACGTGAGGAACCTCAAAGACCATTCACAGGTGAAGGTCCAGTGGTTAATATGCATATGTGGGAAAACTCGTTCAACCCGTCAGTGAGCAGAAAGAGAAATGAAAATAGCATATTTCCACGTATCAAATTTGCAAAAGTGAGAAAAAGAGAATAGCCAGGGTGAGGGAGCCATCCATCCCATGGATGTCGCGCTGATGGCCGTGGTCACCAGCAGAGCGTCTGGAAGCACTTTGTGAGTGGCTGTAAAGAGCCCGAGAAAGGTGCACTCTCTACCCACGAATTACACTTCTGAGAATCTGTCTCAGCCATGGACGGGGACACAGGGAATCCTTATCAGATCACGTTAATTAAGCAACAAAAGTAAGATATATGTATTATAATGCATAATTCCATTCACAAAGGTTCTGCATTTATGCATAAATCTTCCTCGGGTGATTTTTGAAGACTTCCTTTCCTTCTGGGTGATTTTGATCATCGTATTTATGTATTAAATCTTTTTCATATTTTCTATAATGAGCATAATAAAAATCAAGAGGGGGGAGAGAAAACCCTCTTGAAATGTGAAAGGAGGGAACCACATAAATATAGTAATTACCTTTGCGAGTCAAAAGGGTCAAATCTCTAGCAAAACGTGTCACTTTTTAAAGCAAGGTTAAGGAAACCTATGTTAGTGTGTGTACCAAGATTCTCCATAAGGTTAAAGGCAGAGGTCACCAGGCCGTGTGGCTGTGGATGGGCTGATTTTGTGGGGTGAGGTTACCCGGCTCTTCCTTGTGTGACCCTGGGTCCAGCTGGTTCCCTGGCGGGTCTCAGTTTCCTCCTGTGTACACAGCATGGTAGGGGGCGCAGACTAAGGCATCTGTGAGGGTCTTGGCAGATCTCGGCCCAGTGGGCAACTCTGTTCCTGAAGAAGAGAACCTTGACTTGCCGGGTGACAGAGCCGAGAGGGACCCGGGGCTCGTAGTGACAGGCCTCAGCCCCCAGCTCCGTATTTGCTGAGGCTCCTCATCTGCCCAGGGCCTCGTAGCCTACCTGTGACCACTGAGGGCCCTGCCTTGGCCCTGCTCCTTGGCCGCCCTCTCTTCCGTCAGCTTCCAGCCCTCTCAGTTGATGTGTTGATCCCTAGCCTGTCTTCCCTGGAGGGGCGGGAAGGGGCTGTGGAGCTGTTTAGTGGAGGCATGAACTCGAAAGCCACTGGGGAACCCCACCCGCCCGGGGAGATGGTGTTTCCTCCCTCCACGGTCCTCTGTCTGGGACATTTTTGAGATGGTTTGGCTCTCAGGGCTGAGGTGAAGGCCACCAAAGGCCACTTCATGGTGTGGGGCCGCTCCTGCCTCCCAGCCCATAGTCACCTGTGGGCTGACCGGAGCCCCTCCCACACCATCTGTGGCACCAGTTCCTCAGCGCTGCTTCGGCTTCCCGTGCTCAGCATCCTTTCCTAGATCCCAATGGCTTATGGTAGTGCTCCCCAGGGACCTCAGAAACGTTTGCTTTCAGCCGGGAGCGAGACTTAGAGTCCTCCCTCCCACTGTGCTTTCTCAGGGGTGCGGCCAATGGCCTGCCTGCCTGGTGCTCCACCAAGGTAGGCTGATTTTCCTTCCTGTCTGGGCATAAACCGACCTGCAGGCTTCCAGAAAAGGCGGCATGTGGTTGCCCTCTTTGTTGGGGGCCCGAGAACCCCTGCCTGAGCTGCTGGCCTCTGGACTGTGACACCTGCAGCTTCAGCCTGAATGACAGGGCTGGTCTGGGTGCGGGCGGAGCAGCTGCCCTGGGCATGGAGCTGTTCCCCTAGAGCTGTTCCACAGACCCCCTTCCTGACATGGGCCTGTTTCTGCTCAGCCACCAACAGATGCATGGAAAGACGGCTTCTCTGAAGAGCCCTGTGTCCTGCTCAGAGAAGCTAGCCAGGGTTCAGGCACCCCTGGACTCCAGGTGAGGCCCCTCCCAGTCAGATGTACATCCGGCTTGGGGGTGGGTGGGAAGGGGCAAATAAGAAAGAATGAACTCTTACCACTTGCAGTGACATGGTGGGAGCTGGAGACTATTACGCTAAGTGAAATAAGTCAAAGACAAATACCATATGCTTTCACTAATATGTGGAATTTAAGAAACCAATCAAATGAGCAAAGGGGGAAAAGGGAGAGAGACAAACCAAGAAACAGACTCTGAACTCTAGAGAACAAACTGGTGGTCACCAGAGGGGATGGGGCGGGGGGGTGGGGGGAAGGTGACCTAGGTAATGGGGATTAAGGTGAGCACTTGTCGTGATGAACAAGGGTTGAGTCACTATGTTGTACACCTGAGACTAATAATTAATTGGCATTTAAATCAAGTCTTTAAAAGAATAAAGAAAGAAAGGGGCAGAGGGGTTAAAGGGCAGAAAGGGGACCTTGCGTCAGGTGTTGGGCTGGGCACAACACCCAGAGAAATGGGCACCTCTTCCTCCCATTCCGGGGCCTGTCCCAGCTCGGGGCGAACTAGCAGAGTCTGGGCCCCTCGGGTTACCAGCCTCTGCCCTGCCCACCTTGCCTGCAGGCCAACCTGGCCAAGGTTGCGTCCCAGCACCACCCCTCTCCCTCAGCCTTGGTAGCCTCCATCAGCTCAGGGGAGTCTGCTGAGCTTCAGGCTGCGGGGAGGAGGCTGCAAGGAGGGCAGGCCTGCGGGGGTCATGGCCCAGGGCCAGGCCCCGGGGCCGTGGGTCTGCCGTCTCCACCCCCTGCAAAACTGGTCCCCATCCCCGCGTCTCCTGCCCACTTATCCTTGGCTCTGCTCCTCTGCTTATCCGTTGCCAGGGAAGCGGGAGAGGGTCTGTGGTACCCAGGGGTGGGCAGCTCCTCAGCGTCTGGGAGATGCAGGCTCAGGCCCCCGTCCTGGGGGCGCCGCTGCCCACTCCTGTTGGGGAGGAGGGCCCCCAGCGTGCAGGAGGGCCCTCCCCGGGGCTGTGGCTTATCACCTTGCGGTGGCTCCTAGGGAAGGGCCTCAGTCTTCAATCTCTCCCCCAAGCTTCTGGCTTGAAGCCAGGGCAGACCTGGCACTGAGGATACATGGGCAGATCTCGAGGGTTCCTTGTCCCTGGAATGGAATGTCTCCTTTGCAGTCTGCACTGGCCGGAAGGCTTGAAGGCTGAAGAGATAAAGAAGTGTGGCCGAGAAGGGGTGAGTGTGCAGAGGCCGCCTTTTCGCTCCCACCAGGGGAGGGGCTCTGGGCTGACCCAGTGGCGGTTGGCTCCTCGGCTGCCAGGTCTGTCATCAAGGGAAACCTGAGCCAGTGTCCCTTCCTGGGTGGCCATGGGGCGTACCCCAGTCATAGGCTGCCCCGTCAGGACCTCCGGCCATCGCCACCGAGAGACAAGCTGGGCTTGGAACTCAGCCTCTCACCCCCACTGTGTCCCCGATGGCATTATCCCCCGGTGGCTGGCGCAGGCCCTTTGGTGGTCCGATCCCCCAGGACGTCTCAGCCCTGGCTTGTGTGTTTGCAGACGCTACTGAGTAAATACAACCAGCAATACCACAAGCTGTTTAAGGACATCCCCTTGGAGGAGGTGGTTCTCAAAGGTGAGCCGTCCCCCTGGTGCGACTGGACAGGGGCCTGGAGTGCCTGAGGCCCAGGTCTTCTCCTCCAGAGCCTCCAAGGCATATTTTTGCTATGGGAACTGGCTGCCCTTTGGATGTGGTTGGACCTGTTTTCTTCAAAAGTATGAGAAGGCCGGGCAGATTGGGGATACGAGATGGAATTTATGAAAGTTTTCTTGAGGCGATGTCAGGGCTTCCTCTCACTGAGAGGCCGAGCAGGAAAGAACAGTCATTGATATGAACAGAAGTACACAGTGAGCGTGTGCGAGCATTTGCACGATCGAGGCCCTCTGTCCACAGCGGGCAAGGAGTTCCGCCTGAGGGAGCAAGAACCCCGGCTTAGGGAAGGAAGAAAGCTCTAGCAGTTTAGTGGGCTCCGGTGGGGCAGTCAGGACTCTCAAGAAGGACTCGAGGTGCTGGTGGAATGGGTGGGTTGGGGCCTGGGGCCAGAAAGGGGGAGTCTGAGGAAGGCCGTCCCTGAGGCTTGGCCGTGACCCCTGAGTGTGCAGACCAGGCCCTGGGGCTTCAGGGCTGGCTTGCTCATGCCTGTCTTCTTTCCTGTGACTCCCCAGTGTGTTCCTGCGCCCTTCAGAGGGACCTCCTTCTCCAGGGCCGGCTCTACATCTCCCCCAACTGGCTCTGCTTCCATGCCAGCCTCTTTGGCAAGGATATAAAGGTAGTAATAAGTGATTAAGGGCTGCAGTGGGCCATGAGGCTCCAGCGGGGAAAGACACCCCCTACCCAGCGGGCGGGCATCAGGCACCTGGGGAAGCCTCTCACGGGAGCCATCCAACCTGGTCTCCAGGGAAGTAGCTCCACCCCTTCCAAAGCAGGGCCCTAATCTAGACTTCACATCTGGCCAGAGCTGACCCGAACAGATCACAGCCAACTTATTCTGCCTATGGGTGCCTCTGAAATGCCTTCGGCATCAGAGTGGGATGTCTCACTTTGGGGGAGCCATAATTGTGGCCAGGTGGGAGCTCAGGGAACTCTTACCAGAGTATGGGGATCACCAGGGCAACCACCCTTGGCCTCTTGGATAATAGGGTGAGAGCCCAGAGCAGTGTGCTGCCAGGCCTGGGGCAGGGTGGGACAACTGGAAGGGGAGCCTGCATGAGACGTGGAAGGCTCCATATCCTCCCACATAGGTGCAGGCTTGTCCATGGTGTACGTGCTTGGCTGACAGCCGCTTGTGGCTGGGGCCCTGTGCAGGAAGCAAAGGGACCATGTCCTTGGGCGTGAGTCCTGAGACCCCCGTGCCTCTCCGCCCTCAGGTGGTCATTCCCGTGGTGTCTGTCCAAATGATCAAAAAACACAAGATGGCGCGGCTCCTTCCCAATGGCCTGGCCATCACCACCAACACCAGCCAGAAGGTCAGTGAGTCCCCGGGCCAGCCCCCGCTGGTTAGTCTCCCGTCCCAGCCCCGGGATCCTGATTCTGGCACCCTCTCCAGTCTGTACTTACCCCACCCTTTTCTGTTTTCTTTCTCTGTCCCAGTACGTCTTTGTGTCACTGCTTTCCCGGGACAGTGTATATGACATGCTGAGGAGGGTCTGCACACACCTACAGGTATGGAGCTCAGGGGCAGGAGTTGGGCCAGAGAGGTTGCTCAGGCCTAGACAGAGGTCTTGGGACCAGGCGGTTGGGAGTGGTTGGCCCATCTTTCCAGCACAGGGACCAAGGGCAGGGCGAGGGGAGTAACAGGCTCAAGCCCAGCGAATCCGACCTTAGTCCTTGGACCGAGTGTCTATGAGCATGTGTCTTTGAGTCAGAGGCCGTGAACGGACAGAAGCACGCGGCTCCTTTCCAGTATGCCCGTGGGGAGGGACAGCAGCGTGGGGAAGCACCTTGCCGTGGGTTTGCCCTCTGCTCCAACATTAACTAGGGCACCCCTGCAAACTCTGGGAGCTAGGCTTCATCTTGACCCAAGGTGGCTTATTTGGAGGTAAAGCTCTCTTGGAGAGTGCTAATAGCCCCTCACTCCTGACCTTGGCCGTTCCAGATGGACAAGTCACCCCTGTTCCCTTTCTTCCTTAGCCTTCCAGCAAGAAGAGCCTGAGTGTAAGAGAATTTCCAGAGGAACCTGAGTGTGAATCTCTGGTGAGAGCTGAAGCTGTTGGTGTGAGAGAGCCCATGGCTCTGGGGCTTCAGGCAGGGGCCCACAATGTAGAAATGGGGCTCCAGGCTCAAGAGCCAGTGGCCACACTATTCCAGGGGGTCCCCTAGACCTGACACACTCCATTCCATGCAGAGCCACTAGGCTCTGGGCAGATCTGCTGACTTTCTGAGCAGAAGAGATGTCCAGGCCCCTGGACACTGCCCAGGTTGGATTGCACACCTGTACAGCCACAGAACCAGTGACCTATCCTCTTTGGCGGAGTCAGGAGGGCCCTCCAGGGGATAGAGGTGTCCTTGGGGAAGAACTCCAAAGGCTATCCCCGTGGAACCCAGACAGACTCATTTGAGATTTTCCGAGGTCCCAGCAGTTTCCTTTGCTGTTGGGTTCTGGGTAGGCAGAGCTGAGTCTCTAGAACAGTGACGGGGATGGAAATGACCCCAGGGTGTTCAAAGCCTCCTTAACTAGCCATTAAGCATTGAGTCAAGCATACAGTATACACAGTACTATGCAAGGGACAGAGGAGATGATCCCATTTTTGTTGATAGGCACCCTAGGTACCCCATGCTAAGGTCAGTGATGGGTTAAAGTCTGGATCAGAAGGATTTATCCCACCTAAGATATATTATAACAAGTTTTCTTGGACTCGGTGGATATGAGCACATACCTGGGTTAGCTCATGTCTTAGATCCCACTGTGGTTCTGTACTAGTGGTCTTCAAAGACATTGTTCCCTGGAAGAATGGGTGGTCACAGCAAGGGAGCAGCTAAGAGAGACACGTGGTTGCTATGGCAGTGGTTTCCCTCCTTCTGGGTACCTGCCGTCATGCTCACTTGGTATCCATGTTGGCAATATCTCAAAAAGCTTCGCGAAACCTCATGTGGGCCCCTTAGGACAGGTGAGATCCCAAGGCTCACAGAGAGACAGTTTTTCCTGATTTCTCTGCAGGAAGTCCTCATCCCTGAGATGAAGTGGAGAAAAGTGTGTCCTGCCTCCAGGTCCCTGTCCCTCCCAGACAACATCCCTTGTATGGATTCCGTGGACAGCTTCTTTCCCTCCAGGAAGCCTCCAGGGTCTGGTGAGCTCAGGGTGCTCCTCATGACTGCTTGCAAAGACCAGGCTTTCCCTGCCCCCACTTCTGCAAAAAGGAGAAATCACAGCCAGCAAGGCTTCTGAGAACTGTTTCTTACTTTATCCTAATCCATAAGGGAAAGCCAAGAGCCCAGGCAGTTTGAGAGAATGGGGGGGGGGGGGCTATGAAGGGGTGTGTGTGCTCCTTGCTGGGCTGGGCTCTTGCCTCCTGCCCCAGGAAGATGCCTAACTGCTCTCCTATCACAGAGAATGCGGTCTGTGAGGAGGAGAAGCTGGAGGAGGAGCCCAGGAGCGAAGGAGAGCTGAGGCTCTGGGATTACCAGCTCCTCAAGATCATCTTTGTGCTGTAGGTGACTATACTGGGGGCCGGGGGCCAAAGTCGCCTGGGTGTCTGGCTGTTGGAGCAGGGGCCTCTGTGTGTGGGGAGGTCACTGTCCGAGTGAAGGGAAGGCCCTAAATCAACTGAAAGCTCCTGGGTGTGTCTGCAGGCTACACAGCAGGCCAGTCTGCAGCACGACAGAGTGTCTCCAGTTTTTACTCATGCACCCCTGTAATTTAGAGTTAAGGGTGCACAGTAGAGAGGGAAGGATATGAAGCTGTTGAAAAAAAAGGAAAAATTGCACGGGATTGTGGAGGGGGAGGGCTGACAAAATTGGAGAGGGCCATCCGACAGGCTAGGGGAGAGCCATGGTCTTCCTGCTACGCCTTCAGAGCCGTGTTTTTGGAAGTGCAGACTTGCCTGTAATTCTACCTATGGGCCAGCAGAGTGGTGAGCATGGTGGGACATTTCATGAATGGCCAGCCCCTGGCCTCGCCTCCCCTTCCCTCCTGACCTTCCTCTGGTTCTGCTGGCTGAGTGCCAGCTGTCAACCTCCCTTGCTGGGAGAATGGACCTACCACTTTAGGGGATGATCCTAGTGGCCTTGAAGAAGAGGCCCAGGACCAAGGTGGCTGGTCAGGGGGAAGGTGGGCTCCGTTTCAGGGCCCACATTTCCTGCTGGGCTTTGAGGACACCTCCATGGGGGCGAGTCTCAGGACCCCCACACAGCCTCTGGGAACAAAGGTATCCCGGCCTGGACGCAGCTGAAGGGCAAAGGATTCTTTCCTTCCTCCAGTTGCAGGAAGTAGTTTAGTCCCCATCCTCTTTGGTGAGCCTCTAAAAATGCCCGTTTTACAGATGAGATCTCCTTTTTATCTCTTTCTCCAGGATCTGCTTCTTGGTCATGTCCTCATCCTATCTGGCATTCCGCATCTCCCGGCTGGAACAACAGCTGTGCTCTCTGAATTGGGATGGCCAGGTCCCTGGACACAGGTGATGCCCTGTCTCTTCCTAATGCCTCGGGGATTGAGGGTGAGGGACTTCAGCTAATACCTATGGCCATGCTGCGTGTTGTCCTGGTTGGACTTGGCCCTGCCCTTGAGCTGGCTTGATGGCCCCAAGCAAGTGTGTCCAGCTCTCGTTGGGGTGAGGGAGGAGGGGGGCAGAGAAAGGCTCTACTGACCTGTCTGCCTGCCTTCTAGTCCCTTTCCCTGATCTGGGCATCTCTTGTGTGCAGGTAACAGCCACCTTGGCTTCTCCAAGAAGAATGCTCTGGGTGTTGAGTTTCTACCAGGGACCCCCGTGGTTTATGCTGCTGCTGTGCTGACACTGAGTATGAAGGAAAATACTCCAGATCCTTCTCCTCCCTCCCACTCTTCTCCCTCCTGTTTACAAAGCTCCTACAATTTGGGGACTCAGACAAAAAGCCAGATTCTTGGAACCAGCTGAGAAATTCTGTATGCTAAGCTTCAGCAAGCACTTGGAAAAAGAAAATTAACTTGTTCCTTGGAAACAGTCTGGCACAGAAGCAGAGCTCTAGGAGCCACCAAGGGACAAAGGCCACATCTGGGTACCCGGAATGCCGCTCTCCACCGTGTCACTGCAGTAGTGGGACAGGGGCCCGAACCCAGACCGCCAGCGGGGCTCTGCTCTCTCCCAACATACTGTGCTCCCTCTCACTTGGGCCCCTGTGAGTCCCTGTTCTGGGGCCCAAGGGGCTCCTCTTTGAGGAGCCAGGCACCTGTCAGACCAAAGACAGACTGGGGAAGTGGGGGTGGGAGAAGCTACGAATGAGGAGAAGAGGGTGTATAGCTAGGATTCCAGCCCCAGAAGCTCATGCCCTGTGCCGAGGCTCCGTCCTGGGCCCTCACAGAGGAGGCTGGCCGAAGTAGCTGCCACTTCCTGGTGAAACGGGTGGGGCAGGGCCTTTGATCACTGTGGTCACAGCCCTGGTACTGCGCCTTCCCCTGGTGTGCCCCAACAGTTCTCAGGCGCGCCCCAGGCGGGAAGGAGAGGCTGGGGGGGTGGAGGTTGGTGGCTTTGATTTGAGCTCTTGCTTTGTACTCCCTGCCTGCCTACCTGCCTGCCTGGGAGGTCATGACCAATAGCAGCCCGTTGGGGAGGTGTGGCTGGGCAGCTGGGCTACCAGGGGGCAGAGGTCACCATGTCACCTGCAAGCAATGAGCTGCAGGCCAAGGGAGGGCCCTCCATTCCATGAATAAGGTGGGGGTGTCCCAGGTGGGCCTGGTACAGTGCAGGGACCAGGGCAAGGGGCTGTGTGTGATACCTCTGGGGACAAGGGAGGTAGAGGATGGGAAGAGTGGACACAGCAGTGGCTTTGCCTTCAAGATTCCTCCGTCTCCGCCAAGGCCTTCTCTGCTCTCAGCAGCTCCTCTGTGCCTCAGAACTCCCCTGCTTTCCCTGGGACTTCCCTGCTGCGACAGTGCCTTTGGAGGGGTGGAAGGGCCTTAGTGGGGAGGTCAGAGGTATCAGGCGAAGTCACTGGTGATGGATGGGGTGAGAGGTCTCGGAAACACCTTTTCCTTCTTCAAACCCCTGAGAGGTTAATCAGGGAGAAATTCAAGTGGAAATTAGTTATTGGGGAGTCAGGATTGTCCTGTTTATGACAAACCCAAATGAGGATTTGAGGGACCGTCTGTAGGTGACAAGTCCCTAAGCTCAGACTGATGGTCTCTTCAGCCTCCACACTTACTTCAGGCTCTAGGGGAAAGCTTCAAGCCTGCCTGGGGGTTGCTTGCACCACATCTATGGTGTGATGTGTGTCATGTGAAATGGTGTGTCATGTGAAATCATGATTCCATTCTCCCCACACACAACCCCACGGGGTAAAACCCCATCTTTTTTTGGAACCAGCTCCCACTGGAGCTGATGGTTTTGGAACCATCACGCCTTTCTATTACATTTTCAGGGAGCTAATCCTACTTGCTCCAGTGCCTCCCTGTCTTGTTCCTTGCTGAAAGGCAGAGAGAATAGGTCCATTCTCTGAGCCCGGCTAGGTGGAGCCAGAGGCTCATGAGACGCCACCAGAGGTGCCAAGTCCTGGGTATCTGTGCCGACATGCTGGTGAATCTAGTTTCCAGTCATGCCCCAGGCTCAGAAAGGACAAGAGGCCTGCTATAGGGTAGGTGCCTTTGGAGGTCCTCTGGGGTCCAGGGATTTCAGTGGTATACATGTGCCTGTCACTCTGGAGGGTCCTCTCTCTGCTTCTCTCTTGCTCCTCAGCCTGGTCCTTTGGGGTCAGTGTCCTTTCTATTGTGCTCATTTGTAAATTATGTGTATTTATACAGACCTGCTCACACTGGCTGATGCTCCTCTGATTCCCTGAGAGATTGATTCAACTATCCTCGGGCTGTTCCAGCAGGGCATTAGCCTTTGAAAATATTTTAAAATACAAAACTTTGATTTTTCTAGTGTCCTGTGGTATGAAACGTTCATTTTTTATCTTTTGACTACTCACAAAAGGTACTTGTACGGACATATTTGGCACCGACGAGACTGACGGAACCCAAGGCATTCCCAGAATCTCAAGTACTCTGCAAATCTCACAAGACTAGCTGGGCTGCCTCATACTTGAGGCGTCTTGGGAAGGGGAATAGCGGCCACAACCTCCCTAGGCGTCTGCCTCTGTTGGGGGGACACCCAGAATGCTTTCCTCTTTCTCTTGGGCGGCTCCAAAGCAATGTCCCTGGTTCAAATGATACTGTGCTTCTGACTCAGGAATGAAAGTCCAGAGCTCAGAGCCAGAAAATTCCCATGTCCCTTTTACATGACATCAAGCCTAGATTAGGGAGGTTAAGTTTCAACTGGGGACACATCGCCTTTCTTTTTCCCTAGGATGCCCCCTCTGGAGGCACTGGGGACATAGTGAACATATCAGGCTGTATATCTGTGTCCCCATGGCACTTATGCTCCATGTAAACGTTAGGTTCCAAGGAAATATGTAAATAAGCAAGGTTAAGTACAGGTTGTGATTAGGTTCCATGAAGGGGAGAAATGGTGATAGGAGAGTAAATGGGGAGTTGGCTGTAGATGGGGACTCAGGAGATGTTCTCCGAAGTGACATTTAGGTCAGTGTTAAAGGATGAGGAACCAGCCATAGGAGGAGCGTTGCGTGGTAAATGGACCAGTAACTGCAAAAGGTAGGAAAGAATGCATGTGTCTCTGCACAGAGAGACTGCATGACTCTAGGGTATGGATCAGGTGGGAGTGATGTGGAGAGAGGTTGGAGAGGTAGGACAACACCAACAACACATACAACCAAGTAAAAAATGGCTGGGATGTCTGGGTGGCTCAGTGGTGGAGAATCGGCCTTTGGCGCAAGGTGTGATCCTGGGGTCCTGGGATCGAGTCCCACGTCAGGCTCCCTGCATGGAGCCTGCTTCTCCCTCTGCCTGTGTCTCCGTCTCTCTCTCTCTCTCTCTCTCTCTGTCTCATGAATAAATAAGTAAAATCTAAAAAAAATGGTAAGGAACTTGAATAGACATTTCTCTGAAGAAGGGATACAAATGGCCAACAGGCACATGGAAAGATGCTCAATGTTACTAGTCATTAGGGAAATGCAAATCAGAACCTCATTCAGGTATCACTTTACACACATTAGGATGGCTAATCTCAAAAAGAAAACAAGTATTGGTGAGGATGTGGGGAAACTGGAGCCCTGTGCACTGCTGGTGGGAATGTAAAATGGTACAGTCGCTGTGCAAAACAGGATGGCAGTTTTTCAAAGAATTAAAAGGAATTACCATAAAATCCAGTAATACCACTTCTGGCTCTATACCCAAAAGAACTGAAAGCAGTTTTTGAAGAGTTATCTATCTGTACACCCATGTACAGAGCAGCATTATTCCTAATAGCCAGAATGTAGAAGCAACCCAGGTGTCCATTAACCAATGACTGGGTAAACAAAATGTGGCATATGCATAGACTGTAATGTTATTCAGCCTTAAAAAGGAGGAAAATTCTGACACATGCTGTAATATGGATGAACTTTGAGGGCATTTTGCCAAGTGAAATAAGCCAGTCACAAAAAAGACAAACACTGGAGCACCTGGGTGGCTCAGTTGGTTGAGCGACTGACTTGATTTTGGCTCAGGTCATGATCTCAGGGTCTTAGGATCAAGCCCTGCATCAGGCTCTGCTCTCAGCAGCGAGCCTGCTTCTCCCTCTCCCTCTGTTCCTCCCCCTGCTCACTCTTCCTCTCTCTCTCTCTCTCTCTAAAATAAATAAATCTTTAGAAAAAAAAAGTCAAACACTGTGTGACTCCACTTCTGTGAGGTGCCTAGACAGTCACATTCATGGAGACAGAAGTAGAATAGTGGTTGTCGGGCGGGGGGAAGGGAAGTGGGACTGAGTGTTTAATGGACATAGAGTTTCAGTTTTACAAGACGAACAGAGTTCTGGAGATGCTGATGGTGGTTGCACAGAAATGGGAATATACTTAGCCGTATGGAACAATACACTTACATATGGTTAAGATGGTAAATTTTAGGTGTATTTTAACACACACACACGAGGTTGGAGAGGTAGGCAGAAAAAGGAAGTTTGGATTTTATACATTCCCTGGGTATTACTGCTCAGATCTGAAAATTTGGAGTCTGGAGGATCAGTGGCTGCTGAAACCAAGTACTTTCTTTTGCTGGAGGAAATGAACATGTGAATGTAATATGCAGGAAAAAATGGTTAATAATCTACATAATAAATCCCCTTTCCTTTATTCCCAGGGACCGGTTTATAGCAGCAGCATCACAAAGACAGCATATAATCTTTGTATCTTTTAAAAAAGATTTTATTTATTTATGAGAGACACAGAGAGAGAGAGAGAGAGGCAGAGACACAGGCAGAGGGAGAAGCAGGCTCCATGCAGGGAGCCCGATGCGGGACTCGATCCTGGGACCCCAGGGGATCATACTCTGAGCCAAAGGCAGACATTCAACCGCTGGGCCACCCAGGTGCCCCTGTATTTTTAAAGTTGAAATGAGCTTTTTTTTTTTTAAGATTGTATTTATTTCAGAGAGAGAAAGCAAGCACAAACAGGGGGAGCAGGCAGAGGGAGAGGGAAAAGCAGGCCCCCCATGGAGCAGGGAGCCTAATTCAGGACTCAATCCCAGGACCCTGGGATCATGACCGGAGCAGAAGGCAGACACTTAACCGACTGAGCCACCCAGGTGCCCCTGAAATAAGCTAACTTTATAGGGAAGAAACAACTGCCTTAAATTTGGAGAAACTGAAGAAATAAATACATGTATCTAGGGATATGTGTATACACACACACACACACACACACACACACACACACACATTTCTTACTATGTACCTATGCATGTATCGTGCAGGAGCAAGGGTTTTACAACACGGGTGTAGCCAGACAAGGAGGGGTCGTGGGAGGAGCATGAGTTCTAGTGAAAAGGGCATTCAGGAATGAGGGGCGCTCCGGAGAACTGTACCCCACAGAGGCCTCCTGCGGGTAGGGGACTGCCCCCACCCCGACTCCCGGTGCCCAGCCTGCTGGCCTTGCCCTTCAACCTGGTGGCCATGGCACTGGGGCCCTGTCGAACTGGGTGAGGTCATGAACCTGTGGTGCTCCTCTCTGGGTGAAGAGGTGTCCTAGGGTGGAGAAGCTTCTCAGAAGGCTCTCAGCTTTGCCTCCGGCGGGCATAGAAGCCAGATCTCCAGGCTGAGCCCTTTGAAGGCATGTGGGCCACTAGGTGGCAGCAAAGTCCAGCAGGACCTGGAGCCTCAGGAGAGGAACAGACTTCAGGCTCCCTCCTCGAAGAATGCCGCCATCCCCACTGCCCCCCAACTGTCCCTTTGTGCGGTGAAGACGGGCCAGGTGTGGTTCAAGTCCAGGGCGTGGCCAATCCAGTTGGCAGAAGGGAAGTTCTGGCAAGCTCCTGTGGCCATTCCTCCACGGTAGCCTTTGATCCTTTCTCTTGTCCTTTCCCCCTTCCTTCCTGGGGAGGGGAGAGGTTGGGGAGACTGAGAAGGGGGTGCGTTCCCAAGTGCTCCTCAGACCTTCTGAAGGTCAGGCCAGTAGGGAGGCAGAACTGGCAGGTGTCAAGGCCCAGCCTGTGTTGTGTGCATGTGTGTGGGGAAGGGGCAGGTGTTTTTTTGGGGGGAGGGGATGGGTAGGTGTGGAGGGGGAGGTGGGGGTGCTCAGCTTCTCTTTCAACAAAGGCATAGAAATCCCAGCGCTTCTCCTTGACCTGCCCTTGCTTTCAGTAGCATCTTCTCTTGCTCAGGACACAGAATTACAGAAACCAGGCTCCAGCAAAGTACAATTTCCAGAGGCTACAACACTGTTTCTTCTACCTTTATGCAGAGATGAAGGGGCTGGACCCCAGAGGAAAGGATTCAGATTTAGAAGGTTAACACTGCTTTGTCCACCTAAAGTGAGAGGGAGGGAAGTGTTTAAGCCTCTGAAACGATAATCCAGAGAAACCTGAGTGCATCTCCCTGCGTGCCTGACCTCCACAGAGCCAAGGAGCACCTGGCGCCCAGCAGGCCCAGCTTGCTGGGCTGCCTTTGTGTTGGCAGGGCTCCTTGCCTTCCCGGAATGTGTTCCTTCTTGTTTGCCACTCAGTGCCTGGCCCAAAGCCAAACCTGGGCTGCTCGGAATACCATGCCCCACTCTCTTTTCTCATAGAATCTGAGACAAGGCTCTCTTCCACTTGGAGAAAAGGCCAGGACCTCTCTACAGCCTCATTCCACTGGTGTCCACTTCTCTAGGGATATCAGAGCCTCCAACTGCTGAGAGCAGAATCACTTAGGGAGGATACAGCTGGGACCCTGGCAAAGCAGAATGTGGCATATTGACATCCTGTCCTATTGGTAGCCTTCTAAATTGGGCCAGAGTGGGCAAAGTGTTACTCATGAGCTATTCATTAACTTGTTAAATGCATAAAGGTTAGCTTAGGCACCACTTTGAGAAAATGTGACACCCCCTGATCTTGGATTCACTCTAGCATGAAGGCGTGTTAATTGGTGTAGAATTTCTGATGCAGTTTTTCTTTGCTGTTAGTTCCAAATACCAGGCTAGTCTGAATGCATGCTCTCTCCAGTACATAACTACCATTAAAAGATTTAAGCGCATTCCATGAGTGCCCAACTGTATACTACTAGAGATACTATGATAATATAATTTTCTGAGCACTTAACTGGGTACCAGGCCCTGTACAAGGTGTTTTTGTGGTTTTTTTTAATACTCATCTCATTTGACTCTCAATACAAGAAACCCTCAATAAAACAATACAGTTTCACATCTTATTGCTGTGCAAACTGAGACTGAAAGGCCAGAAATACAATATGGAACCCTTTAGGGAGTTTACTGAGGAAACAAGATAGA